TATTAATGAATCTCAGAATAAGCAAATAAAATACAAGATGACCAGTTAAACTTAAACATCAGAGAAGCAATACTTTTTAAGTAAAAGTATGTCTAATACATTATTATTATTCATTGTTATCTGGACTTCAAATTTAACCAGGCCTCCTGTGTTATCTGGCAACCCTAGTAATAGTGCTTATATAAACAAGTAACTTAAAGCTGTCAGAGTAACTAAGTCCTCTGTAGTTTTCATAATCTTAGAGAGAATTTACTTAGCCTGATTATTATACCTATTATGACTTTACCATGAAAAATATTAGCCTTGTGAAAATAGTAATTTATATTGCCCTACTGTCCTCAACTGTGCAGTGGCTATAATATCTACTTCATAGATTTGCTGAATAGATTATCAGTGGCATAGATGTAAAGCACTTATTAACATCCTTAATAAACAGAAGCTGTTATATACTCCAGGCTTAACTGTAGGTTTTCACTCTGGCATGCTATGTGGTTTGATGTTTAAGGCAGTGAAGTGTAGAATATAGGGAACATAAGTTACCTTAATAATAACAATTTCAACTTCTACATTTTAGCAGAAAATGAACTGAAATTTAGAATAAAAAAAGTCCACTTAAAAGAACATATGCTCTATTTAGGCATTTAGTGTAATTTCTCTATGAATTCATTAAACTACGGGAAAAATCTATACATAATATGCATTATTGCTCAAGAAAATCAACCTGGGATAGGGTGTTTAAAAATCATCTCACGAGGAAGACTGATGTATTCTCCAGGTTATTTAATTCATCAAAAGCCAGCTTAAGTTGGTAGGTCTGGGTGAGTTAAGGATTTTTGGCAATATCCAAGAATATTTTTAATGCATTTTGCAATTTGGCAAATTGTTGAAAATTATGGGAAGAGAGAGAGAGAGAGACATCTCCCTTCCTAATAATGAAAAATATTAGCTCTGACTTTATCCTGTATTGCTTGTGGGCATGTGTTTAATTTAGTTGAATTGAACTGAAGCCCTTACAGAATATAAAGTAACCAAAAATGTTTCCTTAGGAAAAAATACTAGAAGTTAAGGTGGAAACTAGCTATACCATATCTTTTAATAAATGTTATAATTAGAAATCCTAACAAATGAATATGTTCAATTCCTTTTTTTTCTTTTAGTGTACATGGTGCTTGTGATGGTCAATTTCGTGTCAACTTGGCTGGGCCAGAGTGCCCAGATATGTGGTCAAACATTAATCTGGATGTTTCTGTGTGAAAGTATGTTTTTAGGTGAGACTGACATTTACTTTGAGTAAAGCAGATTACCGCCCACCCCTCTTTCGTGGAAGGGCTTCTTCCAGTCAGAGAAGACCCTAACAGAACAGACTTTACCCTCAGCAAGAAGGAATCCTGCCCGTAGAATGCTTTTGGGCTGCAACTCCAAATCTTTCCTGGGTCTCCAGCCTGCTGACCTACCCTGAAGATTTTGAATTTACCAAGACCCCAAAATCACAAAAGCCAATTGTTTGACAGATGTACGTACCTATCTCGCTCTCTCATTCTCTCTCATATCTCTATCTCTTTATGTATACCGGTAACACACACACAAACACACACACACACACACACACACACACACATATATATGTATACATGTGGAATGGATATAGACAGATATAAAGACAGAGATGATTTACATATAATCTCCTGATGTTCTTCTGTTTCTCTAGAGAACCCTGATTAATACACATTACTTATATTTTTCATTGATTTTTAACATACAGGAAGTGGCAACTATGCAACTATATCTTACATCAAATCATTATCTAAACAAATCAAGTTAAACTGAGGCAATCAAAAGTTAATTAAAAAGAAAAATGAAAGAAAATACTTTACCCTAATCCGTGAGTCTTAATGTGTAGTATGAGAATTATAATTGAAAACCATCTGGGTAGGTTTCACTTGGACTATAAGTTTCCCATTGTTTTAAAGGTGTTGGCATCATCCACTAAATGCCGTTATTTTCATTATTTCAGGAGATTAAAAAATTAAAACTAGTAAGAAGAGGAGATACGTGAAATAAAATATGTCTTATTTGTAGTATGGTAGTGATGAGGGAGGATCTATGCACAAGCTTGCTTGGGAAGCAGGCAGGGGAGTAGTCACATTTGCCCAAATTACATACCCACAACGATTAAACAAATATTATTTTTTATTACCCTTTAGGCCTCTCACCTGTTCAGCAGTGAACACACTTGAAGCTTACGATGTTAGAATACACTGCAGCCACCCTGGCTTTCAGTTTCATTGAACCCTTTCTAATTGGAGCCCCGGGCTTGGATCTCTCACAAACCACATCCTGTACAAGACTGCTCTGATAGATAAATAAGTAGGAAAAGTGAAAACAAGAAAGGCACACTGGGATTTTAGGAGACCAGCTGAGAGAGCTCAGCATCCAATAGCCTCAAGCTCCTCACAGTGATGAAGCTGGGAAGAGGTGATAATGTGCCATGTCCTTTGTGGCAGACAGACTTAGGTCCTGGAGGCCAGAAGGTGGAGTTAAAATTAATGGCAAACAGTATGAAAGTGGAGTTCATTACAGTTTGCTGCCAGAGTGTTGATAACACATGTACCTTCAGTCTGGTGTTCTAAAAAGTACTAAACTGGGAGAGAAAATTCAGGGTAAGCAGGTAAGCTAGTGCTATGAACAAACAGCTCTGACACTCTGGGAAGGTGCAGAAAGGCAAGCCAGCACCCAGAGGGTGTTCTCAAGAAATGTAGGTCAGTCCAGAGCTAGAATTTAGAATCAGAGGGCCTCTGAAAACAGGTTATGATATCATTGTTTATAGCATAGATGACACTTATACAAATATAGCCTGGTTTGTGCAAAAATTATTTTAAGGATTTGGACATTCTTTTTAAATCTCTCTACAGTTATTTTACTACAAGAAATTTTGTACTTCTGTAAAGTTCACAGTATTCACTGGCCTTCCTCCTGACTGTAGGTGCTGGGGATGTCTAACATTAGCACATCACGCTATAATAAAAATGTGTGAGGACACTGGCTGTCAGAACACTAATTTGAAAATTGTATCTTACCCTGTTGGTACACATGAATTAATTTAGACAAAAGATTAACTACAGGCTATGCATTAGCCATTCACTTACTAGTCAATGAGCAAATTGACAAAAATGATATATTTTTATATTAACTTAAGTTACCTACTTAACCTACTTAAGTCAGATCTCCATCATCTTCAAGTTACTACAACAGCATCCTACCTAGTATTCTCCTCTAATCTTAACCCACTTCACGTTCATACAGTTCCCAGCATGACCTTACCAAAATAGACTTTTCCTTCACATATGTAATTAAATGAAAGTAATGGCATAATTCTTTCTACAAGCTAAATGCTTGCGACAAATTGTCCATTTTCTTTGCCTTCCATTCTGCTTAGCAAATAAACTGTGCCTTTTTGTGCTTTGTCTTTTTATTTCTTCTATTAAGCAACTCGATATGGCACAGTGGTTCAGCAGAAAGACTCTTGAGCAAAAATATCTGACTCCAAATCTTGATTCCAGAACTTTTTAGTTATGTAATACCGAGAAAACTAATTAATGTCTCCACACTAATTCTCCCATTTATAAACTGAGAATAATAATAGCACCTAATGCATATATTTTATGAGCATTAATTAAGTTACATGCACTTAAAATAAACCCTGGCACATAGTGAGTACTTTATTCATATCAGCTAACATTGCTACAGCCTTTTTATTGTATTCTGTACTATTTCACTGGCCTTGCTCCAGTCAGATCTCCATCATCTTCAAGCTACTATAACAGCTTCCTACCTAGTATCTTCCTCTAAACGTAACCTATTTCAAGTTCATACACAGTTTCCAGCATGACCTTACCAGAAACAAAGCTAGTTATATCATTCTCCTGATTAAAATTCTTCAGTTTTCTCCATCTTCCTCAAGAGGAGGTCAAAATTATTTTTGTATTTATGTCCCTCTGTGAGTTGACAGCTTCTTGTTCCTTTAGCTTCATCTATTTCTACTTGTTCCTGAACTTTATGTTTTAGCCATATGGAATAATTTGTATCTCCTTAAACATATTCTCATTCTTTCTCTGAGAATGTATGTCTTTGCACATTATACTTAATCTGCCTGTTAGACTTACTCTTTAACAGTAAAATTCAATTCATCCTTCCAAACCCAGTTATTGAAAAAAATGTTACTAACTTTCCCCATCTATATTTTATGTGTTCTATGACCTGAATATCAATGCATTTTTACTTGTTCAAAGCATTTTTATATCGCGCTGAAATTGTGTATTTGTTTCTCAACATTGTTTGTGAGCTATCTCATGGTTATTCTGTATTTTGTCTTATAATTTTCAGAATCTACCACTGTAGCAGTCTGAACATAGGAGGCCCTTCATGTGTTTGTTAGGAGTGATGCAGTTATTTAAATCGTTTGCTTTCTTGCATCATGGTAAAACCTGTGAAGTATGAGACTAACCAATTGGTATAAACAACTAATTATGGAAGGTACAAATTAACAGTAAGGATTAACAGAATCTAGACCCTGGAGTGTGGGTTGGGAGATGGTACTTGAATTGAAGTTACACATTAATTAACCCTTGCTATATGCTACACAAGAGAAAGAAAAAAAAAACCTTAAGCAATTTAGAAATACAATTATGACTATAGTCAATTGAGAAGTACAACTACAATTATATACTTCTTTCAAAAACCCATTACTGTACATCCTTATTTCTCTCTTGAACAGATGGTTACTTTCCCCCCTTTAACGAGATGAATGGTGTGCTGTCATTTTAACTAGCATCTCAAAGATATTCACAATCCTTTAAATAGCTATTGGAAGCTATGACCAAATGCCTTCGTAACAACATTTTATATTTTAGAAAAACAATTCACACAAATGTTGAGAAAACTAATACTACAGACTAAGACATTAGAAATAAGATCTTGTCCTTTGTAAGAACTGAATTGTGAGAAGGAGAGGAACACTCAGCAGTCGGCAGTACTCCAATATCCTCCCACGTTCAAACTGTTTGACTATTTCTATGAGCAATTTCAATGACTCCCTTTGAGATTCGTCTTGAGATCAGGAGGAAAACAAGAGTCTGTAACCAAAGGTAGGAGACATTAGGACTAAGATGGCATATCTTGAACTGGGGAAACAGAGACATGGATTTTTAATTATAAACTAATTAAAGGCTACTTAAATGTGGTGCTCACAGCATAAGTTACATGATTTGTGCAGTAAATACTTAAAATCTTGTAAGTGGTTTATAGTGTTTAAATAGGGAGACAGATATAAACATCTTTGCATTTGTTGAGATTATAATATAAACTGAAGGTCTGTTTTTTATGTAGACCAATTTCTTCATCATAATAACTCTTGTATTGTGGACAATAAGTTATGTAAACTTTATGCTATTTTAAAAGCTACTACATCACCACCTTTTTGCCTAGATTTTGGCTGAATTACCGATTACTTTCTTCATGAATGATTCCTAACAAAACAACTAAATGGGGAATATGAACTGTGTTTTGGCTTTTGATAAGTATAGACAAATTACCATTAAGAAACTCTGTTTTTTTGCTTACATGTTCTTGTTATTCACAGTTTATAATATCAGCATATGCACCGTGTATCTCACTATAACTTCATCAATAAAATCATTTTTAATATTTTGATTAGAAAATATTACCCTATTGCTTAAATTACCCATTTCAGTAGAGAGAATATCTTTGTGTTTGCAACATATGCTTTTGAATTTGTTTTCCTTCAGATATTTTCATTTCAGAGTTCACAATATTTGCAGTTCAACAATATTGCAGAAGAAAAACTTGTTAGAACAGAAAATCTACTACTGGATTGAGTATATATTTAGTAAAAGTTTCAATTTACACAAATACATACATTTTTGATTAGCAGAAAGCATAAAGGAAAAGTAATAGAGATTACTTCCAGATAATTTTTATTTTCTTTATACTATTTTGTGTTTTCAGTGCATGTACAAAGAGTATCTTACTTTTTACAACTAATCAAGACAGTTATTTTTATTAAAGCATAATTTATATCATGAGGTAAATAGCTACATGCACTTAAAGTGTACAATTTGATGGGTTTTGACAAATACACACACCCATAAAACCATTATCGGTAACAGAGTAAAAATATTCACCATCTCCAGAAGTCAACTTGTGCCCCTTGCAATCTCGTTTCCAGCTCTGGCTCCTAGATCTCTTTTATTTTATTGTATACAAGTTCGTATTTTATAAAAAATGAATATAAATGCAAACATATGGTTTAAACTCTTTTTCTGTTTTTTCACTCAGTGAAAGCATGAACATTGGAATAAAATGGTCCTCAGCTGAACAACAGCCAGTTCTCTTATTAATGTGTAACCTAAGGTGAATGTTTTGGGGCTTAAATTACCTTACCTATAAAATGGTGATACTATGCTAATTTTGAAAGGCAATTTGAATATAAGAAACATACAAAAAATGTAATACATCATTGGGGATATGGTAAATGTTGAATGATGTTGTCTGCTTAGTAAATGTTAGTCTTTTTTTGTCTATATTCATTACCAGGTTTACATTTTCATCTAGTATCTTTTTTGAGGATAGATTTGACTTCTGGATAAGAAATTCACTTCTCCTTCTTGCTCCCATTATTTTGACCCAAGGACCATGCTCAATGAAGGTGGAATTCACTGAAAGACTTTCTAGATAAGTCTATGGATGTTCTATTTCTTCCCTGTGTTAGGATTTTCCAAAGAACCAGTAGGATGGAGATATATATAGATATAGTTAATAGAAATAAAAATATATACACAGAGATCTATAGATACAAATATTAAAGGAGATTTGTTATTATGAAGAGTTGGCTCACGTGATTATGGATACTGAGAAGTCCTACAATATGCCATGTCTACGCTGGGGACCAGTGAAAGCTTCTGGTGTGATTCAAGCTGAGTCTGAGGCCTGAGAACCAGGGTATTTGCTGGTGTAAATCACAGTCTTAGAACCATAAAAGGTAAGAGGTCTCAGTTAAATCAGTGAGGCAGAGGAAAAGAGGCAAATTCTTCCTTCCTCTTCCCTTTGTCCTATCCAGGATCTGAAGGGCTTAGATGATGCTCACACTGGGAAGGCAACTTACTGATCCCACCAAATCAAATGCCAAATTCTTCCAGAAACACCCACACAGACATACCTCAAAATTATGTTTAATCTGGGCACTCCATGGCCAGTCAAACTGACACATAAAATTGACTACCACATTCCCTAACTGTGTCTTCATTTCATTAATTGTTCCCAACTGAACTGTTTTCACTAATTTATTTTTGTCCCTTAAGGAGAAGTATTTACAAACACAACCATTTTCAACTATCAAAAATCTCTTTAAAATAGACGGCTTATGTGATGCACCTAGGAATGGAGAGGACAAAGCGGCAGACTGGAAGCTGTGAACTGGATCGACATCAAGGACTCCTCACTAAGACCAACTAGTCAGAAGCAAAGAAGGTAACGGAGCCCTCCGTACGGTACCCTCCCTTCAGGAGACTACCCCCACTGGAGAGCAGGTCTACTCATTACACTTCCACTGCAGCCATCAGCATTTCATTCTTACTGGAATGACACCTGTCCAGATAGTGTGTGTCTTTCCTGTATGCAGTGCCTTTGGGAACACCACACTCCCAAGGCTTTACAATATGTTTCATTTACTGACATGAAATAGTGTATTGCCTCAGACAGCAAAACACATTTTTTAGTGAAGGAAGTATGAGAGTGAACACATGGCCATGAGATCTGCTTTGAAATTACTGTGTTGTCTAGAAGTAGACAACCTGGTGGAGATTTGGAATTACCTATAGAAGGGTTGGGGCCAGCCTGGGTTAGGTACTTCCCCCAATGGTGTTACATGGTATATTTATTGAGCCAAAGACCAGCATATGTTGCTTCATTCCCAAATGCTAGGAGAGATGTGTCTAGCAAACAAAATTAGAATTGAACTTCCCACCATCACACCCAGAAATCTCCTGTGGAGTTTGTCCTTTCTATACTCATTACTCAGGGATGATGGGATATCAGCATTAGATCTCAGGAGCAGGATGCTCCCACCAGTGGGTAGAGCAAGGATTACTGAACCGAATACCACTGCAGTCAGGGTGTTCGGGCTTCTCATGCCAGCAAACTATACATACAGAAACTGTTGTTGCTACTTAATCTTACTGCAGAGTGTAGTTCTAAGATTCACACAGAGATCTTCTGGGGCTTCTACTCAATGGTGATACCTATGAACAGGAATTGCAGCAACTATAGCCTGACAAGGAGAAGAGGGAGGGCTTGGACTACTTGATCACTATAGAGTGTGTTATACCACCAGGTAAGTCACCCAGTTGCAGTGTTTGCCACAGGTGAGGAAAATTTAGAAAGGGTGGTGAAGAAGACAGATAATGAATCCTTGTCTTGGGACAAGGTAAAGCAGTGGTCGCTAACCTCCATATTACTCATTTTTAGAGACAACAGGTGAACTCCACATTGAAGAGTGACTGCCAAAGTAGATTAAAAGAAGCAAGAAGAGGGGTGTTCTGTGGAGGAAAGCTTTGAGACACATTAGGCTTCCTAATTGCTCCTGGAGGTCAGAAGTAATGGCTTTTTGAAGTAAGAAAGTCTGTTCATACATCTGGCTCAGTTATTCTTCAGCATATTAAGGCCACCACTGTTTTTCAGTGAAGTCTTTTTCTGATATATTGCTACTTGCTCTTTTGCAAGCCCTCACTAAGAAGATGCATATGAACAATTCACAAACTTCCCAGCAAATTATCCACAGTTTGTCTGTCACACTCATGCTCTCCTGAATGTGTACACACCCTCTTCAAGTCTGATCTAGAACAACATGCAGGACTTGTCAGTGGAAAGCTGCTTTGATCACTGGGTGCATCGATTAATTCCAACTCACTGTGGCACACATGAATTAGCCTAAATAATGAGTCTAGCTCCTTCTGTTGGTGACTGTAGAAAATGATAATATGTAATGTTAAATTATCTAAATAAAGAGGAAAATTGTTTAATTTTATTTTTTCTTCTAGTTTTGAACAAACCATTCAGTAATGGCAATTTAGGTCATTACTGCTAACTATCAGAGTTGACCACTTCATGACAAGGACTTCATGAGATTTATAAGGCATGAGATTATGTATTCATGAGAGAATGTGACTGGAAGCCATCAGGAATTATATGCAATAACTGAAAAATAATGAGAAATGCATTTATTAGTTCAGAAAACCAGTTTATAAAACTTACTGACTAAAGTGTTTTGATAGGTGGTAGAAATTATAGGTAGAGATTTAATAGCATTTCCAAATTTAGCCAGAGCACAATCCTCTCTTTAATGTCTTATTAATGTACTCCAGCATTTTGAGACCAATGTATAAGAGAAAGAAGATATGTTTTATTTGAATTAGTTGGACAGTTTTATATTAACTTAATGTCAGGAGTACATGCAACTAGCTACAATATGATATAAGAAAGATTTTCCATTAACCTACTGAACTGAAATTATTAGTTTGAAATTTCTAATGATAGAGTTACCATAGGCTTCTAATAATAAAAAAAAAAGGAAAAAGGGAACATCAGAAGTGAAAGTGAAATAATTAACTGAAAATTCATGGAACTATTCACAAAAACTGCATACCAACCATCTCCTTCCCACTTCTTATGCTTCTGGTTTAAGGAGAGAAGATTTCATCCTTGTATCAATAATGAATCCCTTCACAGGGATCTAAATCACAGCTACTCTTGCCTTCTCGGTAATCTCTCACTGTCAAATAGTACCTGTTTCTGCTGTAGATTCTTACTCTTTCTCTCTACAATATTCATGAAAAGAGCACTGAAAGTTTTCTTTGGAAAGAAGGTCATGTTCTATTCTTTCCTTCCTCATCACAACCACTTCCGTAGGTCTTCTCTTTACCACCCTTGCACTACCCAGCCACTGGGACACAGTTTGTTCCTGTCACTTCAATGACACGACTCTAACTAATTCAATTCATTTCTGAAAATATATATTAAATGCTTACTCTCTGGCAGACAGTGATAGGGCTGATGAATGCAACTGTGAACAAGACAGCAAGTAAAGAACAGAGGATAAACAAGCACATACTAAGAGTGATAAGTTTTAAAGAGACGCGGTTTGGTGTTGCATGAAACAAATGTGTTTATGTTTTTAATGGATGACAAGCCAGTCACATCTGAGGGAAAAAAACATCCCTGGAAAAGGCACGGGCATGACCAAAACCCTGGTGACAAAAGAGTTTGCTGTGGTCTTGGAAATTATTAAAAAAAAAAAAAAGAAGGCCAGTAGGAATTGTCTAGTGAGTAAGGAGAATGCAAGTGAAGAGGTTGAGGTGGTAGTCAGGCTCTAGGTCATGAATATCTTATAAGCCCTGGCAGGAAGCTAGGGTTATTGGATTTGTAAAGAAGAGTCATTGAAATTGTTTAAGCAGGGAAGAGATCCTATGTGTTGAATGGGATGCAGGGGTGCAGGGGGTAAGGGTAGAAATGGGGAGATTTGGAGAGGTCTAGGTAAGGTAATGGTAGTTTGAACTGGGATAATGGTAGGCTATGTCAGAGAAAGGGCGAGATGCAGACATATTTTGGAAGTAGAAAGGCCTGATTTGTTAAAGTACAAGAACTTAGAAAGTAGAGAAAGGTGGCATCAAAGAGGGCAACTACGCTGGGGACCAGTGAAAGCTTCTGGTGTGATTCAAGCTGAGTCTGAGGCCTGAGAACCAGGGTATTTGCTGGTGTAAATCACAGTCTTAGAACCATAAAAGGTAAGAGGTCTCAGTTAAATCAGTGAGGCAGAGGAAAAGAGGCAAATTCTTCCTTCCTCTTCCCTTTGTCCTATCCAGGATCTGAAGGGCTTAGATGATGCTCACACTGGGAAGGCAACTTACTGATCCCACCAAATCAAATGCCAAATTCTTCCAGAAACACCCACACAGACATACCTCAAAATTATGTTTAATCTGGGCACTCCATGGCCAGTCAAACTGACACATAAAATTGACTACCACATTCCCTAACTGTGTCTTCATTTCATTAATTGTTCCCAACTGAACTGTTTTCACTAATTTATTTTTGTCCCTTAAGGAGAAGTATTTACAAACACAACCATTTTCAACTATCAAAAATCTCTTTAAAATAGACGGCTTATGTGATGCACCTAGGAATGGAGAGGACAAAGCGGCAGACTGGAAGCTGTGAACTGGATCGACATCAAGGACTCCTCACTAAGACCAACTAGTCAGAAGCAAAGAAGGTAACGGAGCCCTCCGTACGGTACCCTCCCTTCAGGAGACTACCCCCACTGGAGAGCAGGTCTACTCATTACACTTCCACTGCAGCCATCAGCATTTCATTCTTACTGGAATGACACCTGTCCAGATAGTGTGTGTCTTTCCTGTATGCAGTGCCTTTGGGAACACCACACTCCCAAGGCTTTACAATATGTTTCATTTACTGACATGAAATAGTGTATTGCCTCAGACAGCAAAACACATTTTTTAGTGAAGGAAGTATGAGAGTGAACACATGGCCATGAGATCTGCTTTGAAATTACTGTGTTGTCTAGAAGTAGACAACCTGGTGGAGATTTGGAATTACCTATAGAAGGGTTGGGGCCAGCCTGGGTTAGGTACTTCCCCCAATGGTGTTACATGGTATATTTATTGAGCCAAAGACCAGCATATGTTGCTTCATTCCCAAATGCTAGGAGAGATGTGTCTAGCAAACAAAATTAGAATTGAACTTCCCACCATCACACCCAGAAATCTCCTGTGGAGTTTGTCCTTTCTATACTCATTACTCAGGGATGATGGGATATCAGCATTAGATCTCAGGAGCAGGATGCTCCCACCAGTGGGTAGAGCAAGGATTACTGAACCGAATACCACTGCAGTCAGGGTGTTCGGGCTTCTCATGCCAGCAAACTATACATACAGAAACTGTTGTTGCTACTTAATCTTACTGCAGAGTGTAGTTCTAAGATTCACACAGAGATCTTCTGGGGCTTCTACTCAATGGTGATACCTATGAACAGGAATTGCAGCAACTATAGCCTGACAAGGAGAAGAGGGAGGGCTTGGACTACTTGATCACTATAGAGTGTGTTATACCACCAGGTAAGTCACCCAGTTGCAGTGTTTGCCACAGGTGAGGAAAATTTAGAAAGGGTGGTGAAGAAGACAGATAATGAATCCTTGTCTTGGGACAAGGTAAAGCAGTGGTCGCTAACCTCCATATTACTCATTTTTAGAGACAACAGGTGAACTCCACATTGAAGAGTGACTGCCAAAGTAGATTAAAAGAAGCAAGAAGAGGGGTGTTCTGTGGAGGAAAGCTTTGAGACACATTAGGCTTCCTAATTGCTCCTGGAGGTCAGAAGTAATGGCTTTTTGAAGTAAGAAAGTCTGTTCATACATCTGGCTCAGTTATTCTTCAGCATATTAAGGCCACCACTGTTTTTCAGTGAAGTCTTTTTCTGATATATTGCTACTTGCTCTTTTGCAAGCCCTCACTAAGAAGATGCATATGAACAATTCACAAACTTCCCAGCAAATTATCCACAGTTTGTCTGTCACACTCATGCTCTCCTGAATGTGTACACACCCTCTTCAAGTCTGATCTAGAACAACATGCAGGACTTGTCAGTGGAAAGCTGCTTTGATCACTGGGTGCATCGATTAATTCCAACTCACTGTGGCACACATGAATTAGCCTAAATAATGAGTCTAGCTCCTTCTGTTGGTGACTGTAGAAAATGATAATATGTAATGTTAAATTATCTAAATAAAGAGGAAAATTGTTTAATTTTATTTTTTCTTCTAGTTTTGAACAAACCATTCAGTAATGGCAATTTAGGTCATTACTGCTAACTATCAGAGTTGACCACTTCATGACAAGGACTTCATGAGATTTATAAGGCATGAGATTATGTATTCATGAGAGAATGTGACTGGAAGCCATCAGGAATTATATGCAATAACTGAAAAATAATGAGAAATGCATTTATTAGTTCAGAAAACCAGTTTATAAAACTTACTGACTAAAGTGTTTTGATAGGTGGTAGAAATTATAGGTAGAGATTTAATAGCATTTCCAAATTTAGCCAGAGCACAATCCTCTCTTTAATGTCTTATTAATGTACTCCAGCATTTTGAGACCAATGTATAAGAGAAAGAAGATATGTTTTATTTGAATTAGTTGGACAGTTTTATATTAACTTAATGTCAGGAGTACATGCAACTAGCTACAATATGATATAAGAAAGATTTTCCATTAACCTACTGAACTGAAATTATTAGTTTGAAATTTCTAATGATAGAGTTACCATAGGCTTCTAATAATAAAAAAAAAAGGAAAAAGGGAACATCAGAAGTGAAAGTGAAATAATTAACTGAAAATTCATGGAACTATTCACAAAAACTGCATACCAACCATCTCCTTCCCACTTCTTATGCTTCTGGTTTAAGGAGAGAAGATTTCATCCTTGTATCAATAATGAATCCCTTCACAGGGATCTAAATCACAGCTACTCTTGCCTTCTCGGTAATCTCTCACTGTCAAATAGTACCTGTTTCTGCTGTAGATTCTTACTCTTTCTCTCTACAATATTCATGAAAAGAGCACTGAAAGTTTTCTTTGGAAAGAAGGTCATGTTCTATTCTTTCCTTCCTCATCACAACCACTTCCGTAGGTCTTCTCTTTACCACCCTTGCACTACCCAGCCACTGGGACACAGTTTGTTCCTGTCACTTCAATGACACGACTCTAACTAATTCAATTCATTTCTGAAAATATATATTAAATGCTTACTCTCTGGCAGACAGTGATAGGGCTGATGAATGCAACTGTGAACAAGACAGCAAGTAAAGAACAGAGGATAAACAAGCACATACTAAGAGTGATAAGTTTTAAAGAGACGCGGTTTGGTGTTGCATGAAACAAATGTGTTTATGTTTTTAATGGATGACAAGCCAGTCACATCTGAGGGAAAAAAACATCCCTGGAAAAGGCACGGGCATGACCAAAACCCTGGTGACAAAAGAGTTTGCTGTGGTCTTGGAAATTATTAAAAAAAAAAAAAAAGAAGGCCAGTAGGAATTGTCTAGTGAGTAAGGAGAATGCAAGTGAAGAGGTTGAGGTGGTAGTCAGGCTCTAGGTCATGAATATCTTATAAGCCCTGGCAGGAAGCTAGGGTTATTGGATTTGTAAAGAAGAGTCATTGAAATTGTTTAAGCAGGGAAGAGATCCTATGTGTTGAATGGGATGCAGGGGTGCAGGGGGTAAGGGTAGAAATGGGGAGATTTGGAGAGGTCTAGGTAAGGTAATGGTAGTTTGAACTGGGATAATGGTAGGCTATGTCAGAGAAAGGGCGAGATGCAGACATATTTTGGAAGTAGAAAGGCCTGATTTGTTAAAGTACAAGAACTTAGAAAGTAGAGAAAGGTGGCATCAAAGAGGGCACCTAGATTTCTGACTTTAGTAAGTGAATGTGTGATGACAAATAGATGATGACAATTCAGGTGCCTTGTAAATATGGGAGCTGGGGAGGAAAGAAGTCAATTTTGTGGAGTTCCCCTTTTCATTTGAGCTCACAGTTATTTGACCCAGTTAATGACTCTCTCTCTCTCTCTTTCAAACATGTTCCTCATTTAGAGGAACATACAATGCTTCTTTTTTTCTTTATCTAACCTGTCAGGATGTCATTAGTGGTGTTCTTTTGACAGTTCTTTTCTCTTTCCAAGAGCTCTACATTTTGGAGTTTCAAAACATTCTGTCCCAGAATTTTTTTCTTCTTATCTTATACTCTTTGTTATACTACATCTCTCCTATACAGTTTACATGCTGACAGATCCCAAACATACATCCCTTAGACATCTGTTTTAAATCACAGACTCATCTCAACTATCTCCTTAATAGCCCTATTTTGTTACCTCAGAGCCCTCAATGCCAATTCATTCAAAGCAGACCTCATAATCTTCCCTTGACCTAGAATAAATCATCATATTTCTAGATGTCTATGTCAGAAAACTACAAGCTATCTTTTATTTCTGTTTTCCAGACATCCTCCTAAGCGCCCAATAAAATAACTTACTCAAAAATGTTTGTCAAACTCTGTCACGAATGGTGACTTTAATGACAAATGAATCACAATTGCAATTTAATCATTGTTTATGTAATTATCAGCATAGTGTCCACCTTTTCTGATATGTTATAAACTCAAATAGGGCAGAAAATATAATTGATTTTCATTATTTGTATCTCTGTGCTTGGAATATTGACCAGCTATACCAATGAGCCTCAATTAATTATTAAATAAGTGGATGTTTCACATTCAGAATAATCTACAACCAGATCAGATTCAGTACAGTGATGAAGTATGCACAAACTCATCACAGTGCAGTCAACTATTTAAATAAATATATGGGCAACATTTTGATGTTATATAATTTATTACCGCAAGACGCCTAATGTGATACAAAATATAAACTATTTCTTAACTTAGTCTATTTAAATTTTTGTAAAAATTACTGAAGTTTCAAATCTATATTGATAGTTGACAGTAAGTGTTATATTATTCTCACTATAACATTCAAATATTTATTTTAGTATACTAGTTACTTGTTTGCTCTAAATTTTGTCAAGAGGAACATTGTTTCATAATCAAAGAAAGTGGGCTGATGAAATCTAGTAACTATTACTTTTAGGCATTGGAAAACACTAGTGTTCATCCTTCAATTTACCTAAGGCTTCACTTATTTTTTAGATATTGACTTGACTACATTACAGATTTTTTCAGTATTTCCACAGCTTATCTCTTGTAATACATAGTAACATTCTGAGACTTGGTATGTGTTAACTCTTGATGATGGGTAAGAAATTTTAGAAATTCTCATGAAATGCAAATGGATTAAGATGCTATGAAATAATGTACATAAATAGTTTCTTTACCTAAGTTATTGGGTTCTAAAATTCCACCATAATGTAGTCTGATTTCTTATTAGTTTTTATATACAAAAATATAAATTTTAATATAAAAATTGAGGTCATCCAATATCATAATTCCTAGTGCTATTCCATGGTTTAATTCTATGCTGGTTATAAGAAAATCATCTGAGGAACTTTATGAAAATATATATTCTAATTAACAGGTTGAGAAAAGTGCCAACATTGTTTTTTTAAGTTTTAGCATAAAGCTCCTAAAGCACCCCTTCTCAAGAGCACTTGGCTCATCCAGGTTTAAGTATCAATAATAGCATTTATAGGTCACAAACTAGCCACCAGTGGACTGAATCCAACTCAGAGAAATTACTTCCTTAGACTATGGAATGTTTTCAGATATTTTGAATCAACACATAATATTCACATTTACAGCTTCTTTTGAAAAGAGAAAAATCTGATGAAAGAATCTGCATTACTGAATAACAGCAATGCACTAGAACAGTTAGCAACTACCACCTTTAGATAACATTATTTATTCTTTCATTATTTTATTTGAACTAATATTTATAGTCCATTCTGCATAATATTCCTTTAGTTGTTCAGGAAATTAAACAAAATAGACAAAATTCCCACAACTACTGGAACTAGAACCTCTGTGGGAAAATGAAAATATGTATGTTCTGTTTGGTTTCAGAGCATCACTATCATTCACCCTGTCTCCAGGATACCACAGTGTCTTTTTGCCATTTATCACCACACTTGCACATCAATGTTTTAAAAAGTAAAGACAATTTCTCTCTTCCCTTTTTATTTTTATATTAGTTAAAGCAGGGCTAGTTTCTGTGAGAAAAGAAACAAACTCTTCAGTGGATTAATGCAAAATAATTTGATTTCTCTTTTACATTACAGTTCAGTATGTGTGTTCTTCCAGTGATGACTTGGGAACTCATTTTCCTTTTGTCTTGTCACTTTTAGGTCCTCTAAGACTTCAAGATCATCTGTTACCATGTAGTGGAAGGAAAAAGAAAGAGTGAACACAGTATATACACTTGATGATTCTGCAACAAGGGCATTCTATGACCTAGAAGGGATGCACACCATTTCTTCTGACATTACTTTGGTGATAGCAAGTCTCATTGCCACCCAGATGCATGAGGGGCGGGGAAATGAAGTCCCTGCCTGGCAGGTCCTCCAATTCCATAGTATGGAAGAGAGAATAAGAGTACTTGCTGGACAGAGAGCTTCTGTCAAACTATCAAAATATAAAAATTGGAAGCTGTACCTAGAAGGGCTGCACAGTTCCAGAAAGCAAGACAGAACATTTTTCTTTCATTTTCTTCTTTTCAATATGCAAATAAAGAGAGGCTGGATGGAAACCTCTACCTTGAGGATGTCATACATCTGCGATATATTCTTCGTACCCACAGGCAATTGAGTTTGCTTCCGATGTAACCCAAACCTTGCTTTTAGGGAGAGAAAAATGATCATAGAAGGGAGTAAGATTTTCCTAAGGCCATAGAACGAATTAACAGCAGAACCAGGAAAAGTCATGAAATAAGTCTATTAACTTCAACTTGAGTCTTATTTCTATTACTCTATTTTTTCTCTATTTTACTCCTTGCTACCATTATATAGCTACATAAAATATGTAGAAAGTTATATACAAGCCTATACATACATTCTTTTTCTACTTATATGTTAACACATATTTATTTTTATCTTCACAGTATTTCTCTTCTGGTAAGAGTACTTTGTGAAACTTCACCTCCTATTTTCCATCCTTATTTTGAAGCAACATTTGCTGTACCTCACTGTCATGGCCACAGGACTGATTTGACCAGCTATTCTGAGACGTTCTTACTTGAGAATTCTTGGGATTTTTGTAATTTGAATGAAGAGCTTTGGGAGAAGGGAGTAGTGGATACATAACTTGAGGAAAGGAACTGTGTTCAGGGAAAGCATATCACCGCTGTTTCTGGTATCTGGAGATGCCGTTTAGTCTAGTCTGTTCTGTAGACCTTTACATCACCAACATGGTGACTTTTTCTAAACGGGTATGCTGTTTTCACCTCCAGTTTAGTTTGTTTCAAGGACATCAATCAATGAGTGTATCTGAGACCTAATTTTAGACAAAGGTGTAGAAGCTGGCTACTTGTTGGCCAACTAATTTCTCTTCCATTTGGGAAAATCAGACTCAATTTTCAGCCACCGTTGCAGAGAAGTACCACTATGTAACTAGGTTTTTGACAGTGGAATGTGGGTGGAAATGACGTAAAACCATTTAGAGGTTTGGCCCTTAAAAATCCTTCCACACAATTCTCTATTTTCTTTATTCCCTATCTGCTGGCTAGATTAGGCATCCATCGGAGAATTAGAGAGATACAGAAGATGGCATAACCACAAGATAAAGACGTTTGAGTTGCTGCATTATTTATGTAAGGCTGCCTACCAAATACCCACACTGAATGAGAAACAAATAATGTGTGAAGCCACTGAGAATTTGTTTGTTTCAGCAGTTCTCCTACTCTAATCAAACATGATTTATATTTTTCTTCCCAGTACTCCTGGGCCCCATAAAAAGCAAAATATTTTCTGGGCATTTGATTTTAATGTGTAGGCACAGTCAATAACTCTGAATAATTGTTTCTAAACTTGTTATGATTTGCAGGTTGGTTAGTTATGAGCCCACTGAGCACCACAAGGGGGCAGAGTTGCCTAATCTCATCAATCAGCCACAGTCCTTATTTATGACGGATTCAAGACCTAGACTTCTCTCTGGCTATCTGAACTCTTGTTCTTTGACTTAAGATGTGTAGTAGACTAGTGTAAAATTTTTGATATATTTCACTTCCAACTTCTCTTTGAATTCCAAAACATAGAAGCAAGATAGATTCATATGGCAAGAGCATCTTTAATTACTTAGGACTCTGTAGCTCTAGTTTGTATTTTATAGATATGCATATATCATGGTATATGTTTATGTAGTTATATAGAAATAATATTGTTGCACAAGTACACACATAAACATATATATATATATATACTTATACATCTTTTTTTTTGAGAGGGCATCTCTCATATTTATTGATCAAATGGTTGTTAACAACAATAAAATTCTGTATAGGGGACTCAATGCACAATCATTAATCAACCCCAAGCCCAACTCTCAACAGTCTCCAATCTTCTGAAACATAACGAACAAGTTCTTATACGGTGAACAAACTCTTACATAGTGAATAAGTTCTTACATGGTGAACAGTACAAGGGCAGTCATCACAGAAACTTTCGGTTTTGATCACGCATCATGAACTATAAACAATCAGGTCAAATATGAATATTTGATTTTTATACTTGATTTATATGTGAATCCCACATTTCTCCCTTATTAATATCATTATTATTATTATTTTTAAGAAAATGCTAAAGTGGTAGGTAGATGCAAGATACAGGTAGAAAACATAGTTTAGTGCTATAAGAGGGCAAATGTAGATGATCAGGTCTGTGCCTATAGACTGAGTATTAATCCAAGCTAGACAAGGGCAACAAAACATCCACGGATGCAGAAGATTTCTCTCAAAACAGGGGGGCTAAGGTTCTAAGCTTCACCTCTGTTGATCCCCAATTTCTCACCTGACGGCCCCCCTGCGACTGTGCCTGTCTTAGGTTGTTCCTCCCTTGAGGAATCTTACCTGTCTCTGGCTAACCAGTCATCTTCTGGGGCCATACAGGGAAATGTAAAGTTGGTAAGTGAGAGAGAAGCAATATTGTTTGAAAAGGTTAGCTTTTTACTTCTTTGCAGATTTATGCTCTGTGGCTTCTATGCCCAGCATTTGTCTTGAGGTATCTTTACCACTTGGAAGAATTTTGATACTCGGTAATTTCGATATGAGGCACAAATTCTACTTAAGGGTTTATACTTATACATCTTATATATTTACCTAGTCAATGACTATAGGTCTAAGGGCACTATTATTAACTGAGTCAGACTTTCCCCAACTTGTGAATACATTATGTTCAAGCCAGTTTTAAAGTACGTATGTTTACTTACATATTCATTATATGCATTAAAGATTTAGAAAGTCTAGGACTCTCCCACATTTGATAGGGGACTTAAAAAGATGTGCTGATTGGAGTTGTAGTTTGTATAAAAATACTACTTAATGTGTTTGTACCTGTTTAAGTCCCTTAGGCAAGTCACATTACACCAATGACCAGAATTGCAATATATCAGTGTCATGTAATAGAAGCTTTGGCTCACTGACACAGAGCTTTGACCTAAGAGTTTTGGCTGGCCAGGTAGTGATGGAGAGTAAGTGTAGAGGGCAGAGGGGAGAGAAGAGAGCAGAAGTAGAAGAGCAGGAGAGAAGAAGCAGAGGACAGGGAGGAAAAAAAGAGATTTTCACAGAAAGGGAAGAGAGAACACATAGTTTTCTCAACAACGCTTAGATAGCACAAGTATAATGGGAAATAATACATTAAAATATTAATGTGTGTTTTATTTTTCAACTTCCTGTGGCTTTCCCCTTATTAATCAAAACAAGTTTTTCTTCTGGAAGGATTTGCGTAATATAATTTAGAAATGTAAGAAAGAAATGACAATATTCAATCATTCCTTTCAGCTCATTTTTTAAGATAATGACTTGATTGCCAGAGATTTGTTTACAAAACAGGAAGTTTTGAGAATATAAAGATCAATCCCTGAAGAAACTGGAAAAGACTGGGGAAATGGGTATATATTTATTAAAGTTATACTATATATACATAAAAATCTTTGACCAGTTTCTGACACCTTGCTGGTTCTCTCATTTATGAATTCACTAAATAAAATATAATATATATTCATTTTACATCTCTACAAGGGTCATGATTTTTCCTTTTGTAAAATTGAGTTACATATGTAAACTTCTATATATTTATATAAAAGTTTACATATATATAAAACTTTAATTCATTACTGTCACACTGTGTTAAAATAACAGATGTTAGCAGGTGTATTTTTAGAGGCTTGCTATTAAGAGGGCATTGAGCTTTTTTTTTTCTCAGACAAAATTGAAAGAAACTAGAATTCCTTCTCCTTCATTCCTTGTCTTGGATTTCACATTATTTTAAGGCAGCATGATTGGCAAACCTTAACACAGAAGTACAAGAAAATTGCCTGAAATAATTTTTGTTCTTGCTTTGTTTCTTCTCTTATTATAGGTATTTTTGGTGTAGGGGTAGCCACTCCAGCCTTTCCCCATTTTTCTCACTTACAGACTTTTCATAATCAGACACTAATGGGACAATGAAGGTTAAAAAAAATCCAAAATAAGAATGGCCCTGACTCAACTTGACAGCACTGGGCACTGTGGATACTGTGGGGGGTTGGCTGAAAAGGGTGAGGAGAACAGAAGACCCAGGAAGTGTGAGACATCAAAGACCTCTCCTCTGTTCCCGCTCTGGTGTGTGTTACAGGAGGAAGAGAAGAGGAGAAACTCTGAGACTGCTACAATCCCAAACCAAATTGTACTCTACTGAGACAATTCTGAGATTTTTCTCTTGTTTTTTTGGTTCAGGAAATTAACAGAACTTTCTAAGTTTATTCTACGCATAGTTTACCATGTCTTTTCTAGCTTTGGTTGGGGAAAAAGAATTGAGAGTTTGAAATGGCAAAAATATAATCAGGTTATTTAATTATATGGGTCTGCATTTTTCAAGGTCTTTGAGATACTTTGTAAGTGGATATACCATGGAAAATTTATAGCAGTGCAATAATTCCCTTCCAGAAAGATGAAAATTAATTTTGCCCAATTCATTCCCCCTTTAAGGAAATGTCAGTTTTGCATGTATTAAATCCATTTCAGCATTCTGAATTGCATACATATGCATATACTCATTGAATAATTTTTTAACCAGTTTATAACACCTTGCTGGTTCTGTCATTTATGAATTTGTTAAATAAAATATTTGACATATATTCATTTTACATCTCTACAATAGTCATGATTTTTTCCTTTTGTAAAAATCATCACTTACAGGAACTGTAAGATCTAGATCTAAATCTAGAAAAGGCCATCGCTGTTGAGGTTGGAAGTCTGATCTTAGGAGGGTAAAGGTCTTGTCTTATTACTTTACTTCAAAGATGATACAAATATATTCAATTATTACTTTATGAATAGTAAATTAATAAGTTTTAAACATATAAGATCATTCTCAATAAAGGATCGATGAACAAAGCACACTTGACCTTTTGAAATTACCACTTTCCATGAAATTTTCTCAAGAGTAATATGATTAAATGTATTATTAATAATGTGCAGTTACACTAAAATGTATTGGAAATCTGCTAAATTATTCACATAGATACTATATTGT